TTCAATTTTGAGTTTTGTTTTTGCACGTAAAGATACGTTTAGTGGTAAAAAACAGTGATGATGTGGTGCACTGATTAAGAAAGAATTGAGTAGATGTAATGCGGATATCAATGTTAAGTATTATCACCGACCTGAAGATGCTATCCGACGTTTGCTTATTTTCACAAATGAATAAAGCAAAATTAAAGCGGTTGAAATAAATCGACCGCTAACAGCGTTGTAGGCGACGGAATTGGGGTTGCATTTAGCTTGACGTCGAGATAAACATCACCGAAGCAGACGGAGCACCGAAGATGGTAGAAAACATCATACCATTGATGACGTCATAGGTTGCACTTAGGTTGAGTCGTAACGGTAAACAGTATGGAAGCAAGTGAAAGTGCAAGAATTAACTCAGAGATCTGGGCAAACATTCTTCGCCGGTTGTTGACGTCGGATGGTCCCCCCTGCGCTTTATTATAGGGTATGATATATGCTTAATCTATAACTTCCACCCGGAATGCTCTAAAGCGCACCCTTCCAACTCATCCTGGTAGGCTATTGACTCGAATTCCGTGAAGAGAGCTAGTATTGAAGCGTATATCCAATTTTAAGCTGTTCATTCAAGCAAATCACCGCTGTACAGTGGCGTACCGAGGGGGGGCGGGGGGGGGGCGCCCCCCCCCCCCGAGAATGGGTCGCGAAATTTTTGAAAGTCACTTATATGGGTTATAAAAATGTGCAAGTGACTTGTTTATTTTTGTAAATAATTAAAATAATTTTTAAAAATTTTTAAAAATTAGCCTTGTAAAAAATTTTTTTTCGGGGGCGTGGCTGACGCCACGCCCCCTTTTTCTAGATTTTAGGGGTCGGGGACCCGCAAATCTTCTTAGAAGCACCCCAAAAATTTTTTCGGAGTGCGTGGCTAATGCCACGCACCTTCTTTAGAAAAATTTTTTTGTCGCGCCCCCCCCCCCCCGAGCCGAAATCCTGGGTACGCTACTGCCGCTGTATATACGATTTTGAGGTAGTGCATTGTTCTGACAAAATTGCACTAAAAAGCTACATGTTCCTGAGGTTAGCAAGGGTTGAGTTGATGGTTAGTGAAGCGTCCCTTTCTTCCCATCTCTTTTGTTCACACTTGGTATACTGATAACAGACAGACAGCGTGTAGCTCTTTTCAAAACCGGAGTGCGTGGCTAATGCCATGCACCTTCTTTAGAAAAATTTTTTTGTCGCCCCCCCCCCCGAGCCGAAATCCTGGGTACGCCACTGCCGCTGTATATACGATTTTGAGGTAGTGCATTGTTCTGACAAAATTGCACTAAAAAGCTACATGTTCCTGAGGTTAGCAAGGGTTGAGTTGATGGTTAGTGAAGCGTCCCTTTCTTCCCATCTCTTTTGTTCACACTTGGTATACTGATAACAGACAGACAGCGTGTAGCTCTTTTCAAAACTTCTCTCACGATCACAGTTTTTTTGAAATTTTCAGTCTTTGGATTAATTTAAAATCCTGAGATGAAGTGTTCTCTTAAAACCTGCGTTGCTTGCAAAGTGAGCTTTTTGTATAACGTTTAGTGTTTCAAGGCAATTCGCATCACCATGTTTTTTTAATCACTTAGTGGATAACAATTTGGAAAGTTGGCACAGTATTGATGTTTGACTATTTTCTCAAAGAGGTTCGATTTTCACAGTGAGTTTAAGGAATTTTTCATGTGAAGATACGTTCAGCATGCTTCATTCGCTTCTTTTGCTTCATTCTTGTAGAAGGGTTTTTTCAGAGTAAAATTTGAAAATTTTTAATGAGATACGTTTAGTAATGAAGACAAAAATAGAATAGTGCACAATAGGAAAATGCACAATGAGTGATATGATAGGAAAGGTTCAATTTTGAGTTTTGTTTTTGCACGTAAAGATACGTTTAGTGGTAAAAAACAGTGATGATGTGGTGCACTGATTAAGAAAGAATTGAGTAGATGTAATGCGGATATCAATGTTAAGTATTATCACCGACCTGAAGATGCTATCCGACGTTTGCTTATTTTCACAAATGAATAAAGCAAAATGTAAAGCGGTTGAAATAAATCGACCGCTAACAGCGTTGTAGGCGACGGAATTGGGGTTGCATTTAGCTTGACGTCGAGATAAACATCACCGAAGCAGACGGAGCACCGAAGATGGTAGAAAACATCATACCATTGATGACGTCATAGGTTGCACTTAGGTTGAGTCGTAACGGTAAACAGTATGGAAGCAAGTGAAAGTGCAAGAATTAACTCAGAGATCTGGGCAAACATTCTTCGCCGGTTGTTGACGTCGGATGGTCCCCCCTGCGCTTTATTATAGGGTATGATGCCTTAGGGTTCTTCCCATAGGTACCACCTCTTTGCATGCCTCTCGCGCCTTTGCGCCGCCTTTGGCGCTCCGTTTACAAAGCATCAAACCTTGGTGGCGTGCCAACGCGTCGAAGGCGGTTGCGTTGCAATGAAACCTATAAAAAGAATCTCATGACTGACACAGGCTTTACCATTTCCAATTTTCGGAGAGGGGGGGGGGCATTTATGCATCCTACAAATTCGGTAGCTCTGAACTGAAACAGCCTTCAAAGGCACCGTCCACCCAAATTGGGGTTGGTGAGATTATGATACCTAGCAGATGCGGGGCCCCCAACTGTGTGATTGCCCAGCTCGCGCTGTTTGAAGTTGCTTCCAAACTGAGAAAATTGCTTCGGGAATCGCTTCAGGCTGCGTTCGCGACGCTGGCTCCTCCCCTTTCGGAGAGGGCGTGACGTTCGTCCCGCCCATCCGTGCGCGCCCAACCAATCACCGTACCGAAGAAATCTCTGCGGGTTCCGAAAACGGGGGTTCGTAGTTTTCGTGGATTTTCAACTTAATATTCGGAATCAGGGGTCTGAGAAGGCCCTGGAACGGCAAAAACATGGAGGTCGAAATTTAGGGTGGACGGTGCCTTTAACAGTAAGGATAGTCGGTAATGTGGGTGTAGTAGATTTCTCAGCTCAGCGTTGTAACACCGTGTAGCGGACGGCGTCACTATACGGCTGCAATGCCTCCGAGTCGTGTTGCGGCAGCATATCAGCGCATATACTCTCTGTTCATTTGGAGTTAGCCCTCCTCAAGCGCCTCGGGTACTACACTGCCGCCTCTCCTGGATCCTGCTCCGCGATGAACGAACGTAGGAAAGACTTCGAAGTCGAGCTTCAGTCGTCGTTATTTAGGTTTGAGAAAATCGTGAGAAACATGTTCGCGAACGTGGCGCAAACCCAAGCGCGGCGGCCGCGCGGGATTCGTGCCGCTTGAGTCAGACTCACTCCAAATGAGACAGGGGTGGGTAAGTACGAGTATTGAGCGTTCGTCTAGTGCTTCAGTGGCTGGTATTGAGAAACGTTGATTGTGAAGACGTCTACGAACATTCGTAACATCCGTACATCTGCTCAATATTTATATTAACTCGTTCACAAGTTGATCTTCACTTTTTTGTTGTGAGCTAGAGGCGAAGTCAGTAGATGATTACTTTGAATAACTATCCTACCATGTTATGCACTATCTAATTGTTTGAGGTGACTAAATGAGTAAGAACAGTTCGGTCAGTCTAGAACTCATGCTATCTTATCTGTAGCCTTTGTTGTAGATGAATTGATTGCGCACTCTTGCGCAACCGCCATTTGCGTTTCCATACTTGCCTAAGTCTACTACTTTAGGACTAGATTAAATCTTGAGAGGCATGACTATGTTCCCGCTTTAGATTGAGTTATTGGCATAGGACTTTTATGGTAAATTAATCGACCAATATAGCCTTGTACTTAGCATAGATGCTCGCTTCCAGCGCATTTCTTCCAAAGGCTTTCCTTGCTCTTCATTCACTAGAAGTGGTTAACTTTGATAGAGGGTACGGGAGCTTCCATATCTAGACTTCAGCGTCGTAGAGGTTACACGTCATCAAAAGCTTTTTCTCTAGTTGACGTAATCGCATGTGTTCCTAAGAGAGTCTATTTTTCTCATTTCTTTCAAAGTAATTGTTCTGGTGGAACGTGCAACCGGGGTGAATGTATCGGAGAATCTACCACTGTTCTTTATCTGCCAGACTGAGTTCAAGATTTGCTAATTCTATCCGATATGGATCTCTTGTTGTATGAATCTCTTTGGGCTCAGATGTCCTTCGTGCCATTTTGTTTTGCAACCTTGAACACGACTGCATGGCGTTTGTTGTTATGGATGGGTGTAAACTCATTGGAAATAAGACGGAGAATAAATTTTCAAAGCACTCAGGCATTTTTTCTCTTCTTCTTGGAGGTAGTGGTAATGAAAGTACTTGCTTCCTATTTCGAGTTACTTAATTTTTGATTGTGCGTGAATGAATTTATCAATGTCTTCTGTTATGCGACTTGACACAGTTGGCTCTAGGAAAAATGTCGTTGATCTAATGTAACATAAGTACAAGTGCAACTAATCCGTGTTCTCAGATCTGCACCCTTTTCGAACGTCTTTTGTCTGAAATATTGGCTTCTAGCATCTATTCGAGAGTCAGCATGTTTTACTATCTACTCTTCGCTTTATCATTCTAGTGATTCATCCCCTTTCATTGCTATCGTGTTCTGTCTACAATCGGTAAGGGATAATAGCTATCTGGTTAGTGCTCTGAGCGCTTGGTCGCAAAAAGAAGGTTTCCTGAATTGTCGATGGTGTATTTGACATAGTTGCTTAATAAATGCATGATTCATCTAATCCTAAGAAAAATTTGACCCGTGTAGGCGAAGGGAGAAAGGGAGAGGATGGGGAAACGAGAGGTTCTTTTCTACATTATGTTTATCACAAATGATCTATGCATTCCTGTTTTGGCTTTACCTCACACAATCTTTTCGACATTTGAAAATCATCTGGTCCAACATCTTTCACACCAGCATAGAACTTTTAGATTTTTTGTGATCATTGAATCTAGATAATGGGATTCCATCGTTTGCGGAAAGTTTTGAGAAAGTAAGAGCATAATTCACTTTTTTACAGAATGACGACCGAAGCCGATAATTTACGGCGGTCGAAAAGGAATAAATTTCACTTGGATGTAGCCGCAATGCATCTAGCGCATCCAGAACGACGACGCACTCAACCGGTCGGTTTCCTAGGCACTTTTACCTTTTTGCACATTATAATTATTTCCGTTTTTTTGCTTTACAAATGTTCGTGTGAAAGTGATTTTACCAGTATTTTTCTGGGAAGTTTTGAGCCTTGAGTCTGCTGCGGTCAGCTGTAAAGTGCAAACAGTAATATATATATAGTATTTTTCTTTTGAGTGGAGCTGCATTCGTGGTTATAAAATGAAGCGCGATTATAGTGAGTTCAAGCGCAATGCGTCAGTTTCGTCGTGTCCAGCTTCATTGCAGGGTGTGTAAAAATCATCAAAAAGTACTCTTTCATATTGATCCATACTTCATACACGCCGCAAGGCGTCTTTTTTATTTTGAAGGGCAAGAGTAAAAATTTTACATTTCTAGGGCCGCCTCACCCCGTCGCCAGAAATTCTCACACGCCGTGCGTCATCACTCAGTCCCGCCACCCAAGGTAGCCCAGTGTCGTCTGAACCCGGTGATGACAAACCTCGCAGAATTCGAAGAGTTCCTATTAGAAATACAAACTATGTCTATGACGACTCAGATGATGACGTGAGAACTTGTTTTTTGTGATTTCAGTTCAAGGTCACTCTGTTAAGGAATGTCGCCGAGGTTTGGAAGGTACAAATCTTTGTGTGAAATGTCCAGCAAGATTCGAAACTCGCCCTGGACTTGCCAATCATTTCAAATTACATTTTGGTGAGTGATGTTATGTGCTCTGTCATCTACGGATGTCGTTATCATAATGATTACTAATTAGAAAGATGTATTTTTTACCTTTGCGATTACGAATCTACAAAAGAAATTTACTGATTCATTTGAAGACTGTACAAGCAAAAAAGTGCTACTATCACAAAAGATTTGAAGGGGTGAATATAGGAGTGACAAATCCTGAAAAACGGCTGGGATTCTTGCAGATTTCTTAAGTTCATTCATCGTTGTACTTTGTGTCATAATCTCTCATGTTTAAATGGCAATAAATCAACTAACTAGGCCGAGGGAATTTCGGTTAACTTCTGTTCGTGCCATGTGGCAAATTGGCGCAGTGCGTAGATTTGTGACGTAGTTGCAATCATTTATGTTAGAAATTGAAGGAGGTGACGGGTGTATTCAAGCATAAAAAGTGGGGGGGGGGGGGAATTGTTAGTTTGTGCCTGTATTTGCCTTTTTATTTTATTGTTTCAGGTGAAAAACGCAAATTTGCATGTGAACTATGCGATTTCTCAGCTACAACGCTGAAATCGTTGAGATTTCATCGAAGAGTACATGATCGGTTTGGAGTTGGACCAGCAACGCTAACTGATCCACATGGAAATGGGATCATTACTGTTGGAGTGAGTAACCATTTTATCTAACTTATCGGTCAAAAATCCGTATTTTATCAAATTCCTGTTGTAGTTGCTTTTATCGTTTATTTCATAATCGTTTTCAACTTGCTAATACTTCTCCCATGTTTTGGATGTTCTCTGCTCAATTTATGGCTCTAAAAGCTTATCTGCATTCAGAACTTTACTTTTTCAATCTCTTATGTTTGAATTTGGCTACCATTTCGTTGTTATCAGTGGTGTCGTCTATTTATCTCTTATTAGAAGTTGGCTATTCAGGATGTACTCCATTGTGAGACTTCACTCGGTCTCAGTCTCTGTGCAAACTCATCTCCACCGCAGCTATCTCCTCCAGCAGCATTTAGTGCTGGTTTGCTCAGAAGTAATACGGAGCCGGCACATCTATCCACGCTGACATCCGAGTCTGATTCTCCAACACGAATCACTCGTCGAAATGCAGCTGCTGCGCCTGCTCCTCCGATGACTCCCCCACCAAATCTTGTTCGGGTAACGAATACGGATAGCACGACGAGTGAGTAGTTCATTTCTAAAGTCTCTGCGTCTGAAGTGATTGAGTACACTTGTTCCAGAGCGGGAAGTTCCAGGAAAGTCCAGGAAATGTACGAAATGTCCATATTCAGCAAAGACTATTGCCAGGTTAAAAATTCATATGATTGGACATCAGAAGCAATGCGGTTTTCAGTGTCCTTTCTGTTCTTTCAAGTAAGTTTGGCTTTCTTCCAGCCACTCAGGCGATTACTTATCTTGGCTTTTTGCTCTATTTTATCGTGATTTACCCATTTCCAAGGCAGTTGTCCAACCACATTTCATTTTTCATTTCAATAATAATTTATCAAGATTTATTTCACAGCTGAGACAGTTACTTCCAAAGGTGCTTTGGATTTAAAGGCAGCGTCCAGGCAGATCTGGACCTATGGGGCTTTTACGTGGAAAGTACTTTTGGGGCCCTAACTAAGGCACTGCCCAAGCGGCAGCTCAGGTAGTGCTGTAATGGCTGAAATATTCCCCTCGAAACTGGACCCCGCGACCGTGTTTCGCATGGATTCATGGCGCAAAGCGAGGATCCTGGCGCGAAACTGCCATGAATCCATGCGAATACGTTCGCGGGGGCCAGTTTCGAGGGGAATATCTCAGCCATTAGAGCACTACCTGAGCTGCCGCTTGGGCAGTGCCTTAGTTAGGGCCCCAAAAGTGCTTTCCACGTAAAAGCCCCATAGGTCCAGACCTGCCTGGACGCTGCCTTTAATTGAAAAAAGTAGTGGTTTCTTTTGTGAGGTTTAGGGGTTAGGGGTTTTGAGGTTCTAAATGTTTTTTGGCCTTTATGTAAACTCATCAGCTCTGCCCTTTTGTAGAAGTGAATCAGCTGGTTTTCTGAAACGACATGTTGATATGCATGGTTGCCCTTCTTTTGCATGGCCGCCCACCTATGTTGGTATTTCGCCACGAAAATTGGCTTCCTTGGCTGGAAACAATCAATCCCGGTGCCGATCCAGCTTGGTAAGAATTGAGATAACCTTTCTATCTTTTGGCATTGTGATTGATGTAAGTTGTTTGTTTTCTAGAAATTGTTGTTCTTACAAAAAGCGCTCCAATATGCTTCGAGCAGTAATGGCATTGCAAAGTGGTCTTGTCCTATGCAGAAATGTAATTTCTCTGCACCATTGGTTCCTCAGCATGTTTTACATCACATTAAGAGGCATGTTCCGGTAAGTTGCTTTCATCATTCTGTAGTTTTGAGCTATTTTACGTTTTTCTGTTCTCATGATTTGTTTATCTTAGCTGAAACTCCGTCGATTTCTTCGATATACATGTTTGAAATGTGGAGTTTGTTTCCCTACTGCTGGAGCACTGAAAACTCATCGAGTCTCTCGTCATACGAAAAAGCATCATCCAAAGGCACTGCAATACTTCATGCGTGAACGGGTCGGATTTCATTACAAGTAAGTCTGCAGCAGCGATTTCGCTACCTTGATGATGATTTCTCATTTTACTCGCTATCATTCCAGGAGGAAATTCGCTAAACCTAAATTCGAAATCAAAGATGAATCGTCGGAGAGTAACTCTCCTCAAACGCAAACTCCTGTACAGAATGTTTTGGTTCCTGCTGTGAAAGCAGAAGGTTTCAAAATAGAAGCAACAGATTTGGTTTTGCAAGCGATTCCGATTTGTACTAATGAAGGGTGGGTGTGAATACTGTTTTTAGATTTTCCCTTAAAGGTTTCATAGTTTTTTTTTGTTGATTTTTCTAATGTCTCTGGTGAAGTTTCATATGTTTTTTTTGTTATATCCTTTGTTTAGTACTGAAACAAAGCCTAAAGCCTTCGAATTTTGTTGCTCTCTATGTCCCTATGGAACCACAACCCGCTCGAATCTACTCCGCCATGAAGCTAAACACCAAGTGAAAGATCTCTTTCAGGTGCGATCGTGACTTTTTGCTTGTTTTGCTAATTCTGCATGAGTGATTCGAACCTCTTAGTGTCCCCACTGCTCATTCTCCGGCCGAACCCTTGAGTTCATCGAAAAACATCGTCGTCTCCATCAATCGCCTAGTACTGTCACTACAGCGGCAACAACGCCGTCATCGCCTCTGGTTCATGGACAACCGGTCGTCTTCGTTCCAGTTTCAACAGTGATTCCGCAATCACTGACCATGTCGCTAACGAACTCTTCATCACCAGTGATCGCTGTCTCGATCTCTACCAACGGTACCGGACCGATCACCGTACCGTACAGTGCCGTAGCCGCGCATCTTCCGATATCGTTAGCCTCGGTGATTCCGACTATTAGAGAACAACAGGTTCATTCAACAGCCACGCCTACCGACAATGGCGAACAGAAAGCGAAAGGACTCACTCGACGTTCGGCTACGGAGCCTTCGTTGAGATTTATTGGGGTGAGTCAATGCTACGACATATGTAGTTTTAGAGAGAGGACGAACGGGAAGGGAGGTGTTCCTCATAAGTGCTAAATTGGGAGTAAACCTCCAAACTTTATGTGACTTAGTGGGAAATTGTATTTTATTGAAACTTACGATTAACCAGTAACTTTTCTAAAGGGTGTGGCAACGACGCGGGTAACCTCCCACTTTTGAGGTGAACATTCGTTGCCTTCCATCTCTTTCCCGCTTTCAGATTTCAACCAATTCGAGATTGATATAATCTCATGCAGTACAATAGCAAGGCAGCAATATTGCCGAATTCCCGTCGCAAAAGGTCTACATAGATGGTACTGAGGTCGTCACGCCTATCAGCGTGGGTGACTTAAAGGCATCGAGCTTCAGAGAAGTGTCGAAAATTGTCTTTCATTGTGAGAAACGCGTTTTCGACAATTTTGGGTCTCTGGAGTCCAGTTGGCTTATTACTTTTCCACCCACGTTGATGGGCGTGGCGACCCCAGCAGCATCCATCTTTCAAAGCAATTTCCTCGCTTCCAAACACATCTTCCGCGGCGGGACCTGGGCAGTTGCTCAGTGTGGTCCTCGCTCATTGTACTGCATCAAACTTCACCAGTCTCACATTTTGTTGTTTTGTGCCTTCAAAATTTGTGAAAAGAATATCTGTCATAGGGATTGAAACTGGGCGCTGCACAGAAATGAAAGATCTGACCCGGGCAGAGGCTGTTCGATGCCAAATCGGTTTCACATTTTGCAGAATACTGTATGCTTTGCAACAGCTTGCTCTTATGCAACAGACAAATGTACTTCCAAACGCTTTGTTCGAACTGCTCTTTCAACGTGACTAGTACATTTGACTCTATTGCCATATTCTCATAAACAACAAAAAGGGCCCAGACGTTGCACTGCATTACAGTAAATCTGTGATTTTGCATGTAGATGCAAAGAGCAGCGTTCGATGTTTTGCATTTGTGTTGAGGGACTTCCCTATATTTATTGCAAACAAACAACTGGTAAACAACTGAATATTTGATTATGTTCAAGTAATATGAGCGCAGAATACCACCAATGTTACTAATCCGAAATTGCGAGTAGTTGGTCACGGTCACCTTGACAACGAGGGATTGTAGGTTACTAGGGGGCCGAAAATTTGGAAGGAGCGAGGGCTTGTTTTTGAAGAAAACAGAAGTTATGGGCTACGTGGATTCTTAGGGGAGGGGGGCTTGTAAACTTATGATTTCAAAGTTTCAGCCAGAAATAAGCTTGGATTAGTAACATAAAAACTTCAGAGAATTTAGCGAGCCATTCCATAATTTTGAGTTCTCATGAACTTTTTAATTTTGTAGTGAGTTCTTTCTCTAGTAGGAGTAATGATTGTTTATAGCTTTTTGATTTGATTTTTGCGAGGAAATTTTCGCAGAACCGGTATCATTTGGAATTGCTGGTCCCTTAGCTAGTTCCCCTGATTTTCTTTTGTTTTCGACGGCTTCTCTTTGCAGTCCGATGGTGTCAAAAGACGTCGATGCCCACTATGCCCGTATACTTCAAAGTTTTCATGCGATATGCGTTCACATATGGAAATGCATACGATGAATGCACGTTTCAAATGCTCACAGTGTACCTACAGTACAAAGAGAGCTGTTAGCTTACGGTCACATATCGGGCTGCATACCGAAGATAATCTCATTCGAGCTGTGAGTTTGTACTTTGGTTTTGGAGGGTTTTTATAACTCGTTTTGTTTGTAGAAATCCGGTAAGAGTGTGAATGTCACCGTGCAAAGAACACTAATTGGAGTGAGAAAAGGACGCGGTTTATCTGCTTTCTATAGTTGTGCACAATGTCCTTTTGTGACGAGGATATGTGCCGAGTTATGGCGACATGCCAGGTAGATTTTTATTTTGATATCCTTCCTCTTTTTTTCATTGGTTTGTAATTGTTTATCTTCTAATTTTCATTTTTTTTTTGAATTGAATTGTTCAGGCGACATCTTGGAGTATCGAAAGGTTTCAACTGTTCTCTATGCTCTTTTTCATCGATCAGCTTAGAAATCATGGAAGAACATCAGCTGCTGCACCCAGAAGGCGCAGCGTTTATCCGGGTAACTTCAGTATTGCTTGACTTTAGCTTTCAAGTTTCTCGCCTTTTTAGCAAAATCTCAACGATGATGAGGAAACTCCAACAACGCCAGTGACACCAGTTTGTTTGGAGCTGAAATGCGAGTGAGTTGATGGAAATTCTGAAAAGTTTTAAAGTGATTCTGCAAAGTTTTCAGAAATTAACTCAAACTTTGTAGCTGTTTTTAAAAAGTAGACTGTAGAGCTTCGAAAAATTTTTTTTGTAATCTCTTGCTTACTGACATACCCTCGGTATCATTGAAAGTGACCGGTTCTAGAGTGGGGCTTGGGTCCCACAAGACGGCCTCGCCGAGCTCTGCGACTCTTTCGCGAACATGCTCTTAATCTTCGCATCTTCATAGCAATGGAAGCTGCGCCTTTCCTACCATGGGAAAGGCGCAGCCTCAACTGCTAATCAAGGGTGTGAAAACGAGAGGCCGCGCGGCACCTGAACTCCACGCAGCACCCGTCACTTTCAGTGGTACAGATGGTATATATAATGAAAGCAGCTAGTATCTCAGGCAGGATATTTGTTTCTAAATCTATCTAACCCTTCCAAACGTTAAACCATCGATCTGCCGAGGTTGGGGAGAAGAGGTTGATGATGAGGGGAGAGGGAGAGGGAGAATACTGGTGAAAAGTGCCGAAGACTGTTAAAAAGTGTAGCGCGGCTTTATGTGTTTGAGTCGAGCCAGAATTAGAAAATAGCCTTGAGTTCTGGAAATGCTAACGCCCTAGAATCTTTTGTTTAGGAAATCGTAAACAGATAGCTTCAGTTACTTATCACTGTTCGACAAGCTCATATGAGCTTTTTAGTGTATGTCCATTCAAGACAAACATCTACCAGAGAATGTGGAATCACAAACAGAAGCATAAGAAAACTTCAAAGTTTGTATGTAGCAAATGCACATTCAGGTGCGTATGTCTGTTAGTAGCTGGAGTAGTTAGCTAGTTAGTTAGTCGCTTAGTTTTGTGCAATGAAGTAAGTTCTGCATTTGCGGACTTGCCAGCGTTGCGGCGCAGCGCACATTTACTTTTTTGGAGAATAAAATACGGTTGCAAGTAACTTGCGGAACAAAAATGGGGTGATTGTTGCTGCCATAGTAATAGGAAGCATTCTTCATGCAAGTCCGCAAATACATTCCTTTTATTTTTGAAGGATTCTATTTTTTTATTTTTAGCACCGGATCTGAACTCTGCTTGGAAGATCATATGGTGGTTCACAGTGAACCATGCAGTGCTGTCGACACCGGTCCTACTCCAAGCCCAGCTCCTTCAGCCGATGTGATTCAAAAATCTGATAGCGAAAAATCGTCTAGCCCGGATTCGCAGAAAGCACAGGGAGTGGTAGAGAAGTGAGCTAAATCATTGTATTTGATGATGTTTATAGCTTGGGATTTTTTTGTTTGTGTAGATCAAGACTGGACTGTACAGCCTGTCTAAACTGCATAATCCCTTTTGTATACGTGCACTCGCCAGCCGGACTGTGCGCCACGTTCGTGCGCTATTGCATGAATTGAAATTGACTTCATAAGCTTGTCCGAACGCAAGGGCCTCGCGTTGCGAATGCGTACTTGCGCAAAAGGAAGTGTAGTCGACACAGACTGTACGGTGCATCGAAAAAACTAGCGTTTTTGTCAAGTGGGCGTAAACGAATACTGTCATTCGTGTCATTCGTGTATTGTGCAGTTACACCATTTTCGGCATTTGTTGCATGTCCTTACCACTATGAACTGACCATGTGACTTATACCATTAGCAAGCACATTGTACTTTCCAGGAGCAAAGACCAGGAAGTTCCAGCTACGAATGGAGTATGCACTAGAAGTGACCTCAGAAAGCCATTATCCATCAAAGTAGATGCTGTCAAGCTTATGCGACCTACAAAGGAAGTACTTCCGGTGCTAAAACGAGACAACAGAAATGAAGGTACTTGACTTTTGATCTAGCTTACAAAACTTTGTAAATCTACCTTTTTTTTAGAGCGAAAGCAATGTCCTGATTGTCCATTTGTGGAATCGGATGAGTTGATATTTAAAATGCACAGAGAAATGCATGGTGGACGTACACGAGCCTATGCTTGTAATTTGTGCAATTATAGGTACGCTTAATTGAGCTTATGGATTTTTGCGTCAGTTCAATAAAGGATTGAAAATTTTTTGGGAGAGAGTCTTAATTTGTTTCTTGTAGCTGTTTCGCTGCTGAGGCTCTCCATTGGCATCTCTCATTACATCTACCGCCCCTCAGTCCAGCAAGTGCTTTGATACAGAGGTAGAAAGAAATTTCATATCTTACGCTTTGCTTATTCGTACATTGTTTCTACGTACTGACATCTCATATTAATTTTCATATGAAGTTTCTTTTTTTTGCATATTTTGATTTGTACTCAATTTTAGGAGGCGTGGCTTGGGACGACGAAGTTTCCAAACTTCTGATCCTATCCCACTTGGTGCTAAGCACTTCTCATGCACTCAGTGCTCATTCCGGACAATTAGCGAAGCGAATTTTGTACAGCATAGGCAACAACATGCACAGGTAAGACTCTATCAGCATAAGAAACATTGTTTCTTTTGGAAAAAAATTCAAAGTTTCCTTTTTCCAATTATTTCTTGAGTCATTTTCAACAATGTTTTACTCGGTATTGTATATGTGGCCGTTTTTTACTGGTCATGGAAAAATAAATGTTGTAGATGATTCACGGATGTGGAGTTTTTTTGTTTTTCTTTGTCCTTTTTTCCTGTGGATTTTTTTACAAACAACAATGGAAATCACTCAGACATCTTTGGCTTTTGCTTCTGTTATGTAGAGAATGTTTGTTTTTTGTTACAGCACATTCAACAACGATTAGTCACGCAAATGAAACGAGCAGCATCCGAAGAAGAGAACAAGAGAGCGTCGAAGTTCAAGCGAGTAGCGAAGAAAAGCGATAAGATGGTGAGAGAGCGCTTAGAGAGACGACATAGCATCACTGAGAGGAAACTCTCCATTGTGGTTTTTTCCAGCATTCATGTGTGAGATGCTCGTTTCGATGTGACACATCAGTGGCATATTCCAGACATCTTGAGATGCATACACAGAATGCTTTGATCAAGTGCAGGTGTGTGGTCTTACAGCATATTTTCTGTATATATTTTGTACATTTGGGGGGGGGGTCACTAATTCCTACAGTTCGAATTTATTGATTCACAATGTTTGTTCTTATAGTGATTGCAGTTGAGTAAGAGTGGGGAGATATGCATGTTTCATTGAGATTTATCTATGTTAATCTCATAGTGTTCTTGTAGATTTCTTTCAAAAGTGGAGAAATCTGCTCATAAAAAATGCGCGGTCTCTTTAGAAAATGAATGTTTTGAGCATTATCTATTGATAGCGTTCTGAAGACATGTAATAGTCTTCAAAGCACTCAAAAAACTGTAAAAATGAAAATTTTCTGATTATGCCTCTTTTGACACTAGTCGGAGTTATTATAGAATTTGCGACTACTCTGCGAACACGAAACAGATTGTGGATTTCCATGAGCAGAATCATCATTTGGATCAGTCTCTCACCCAGCTGCGAAGGAACGCTATTTTAGCACCGGATGTGGTTCAAGTTAGTTGCGAGATTTAACGTTTCTTTTTTTTTCAAGGGTTACCTATTTTTTTGATTCAGATGGAAGTGACTTCCACTGATGAGGAACGTGCAAAGATGGCCGGACAAGAATTCCGATGTAAACGATGCAACTTTCACACGCTAGAGATCTCAGTGCTTGCCAAACACTTCGAGCAGTGTCATCACGATACGCCAGCGGATCGAGAGATTGCAGCTGATTTGAGGATGAATTTGGTACCAGCAAATAGTATTCTTACAACAGCATGAATCTGTAGTAGGGTACAAGAACTCGCAGCTCTGGAAAAAGTTCAGGTGCACTTCTTCTGATTTTTTTGATCGAAGTGTGATATTTTGATTGTTTTATGGTAATTATATTAGTTATGCAGCCTATGCAGCGTTATAGTCATGGTCATTACACGATTGGCAGGTTCTTGGCTTGGGTCAATATTTACCCCAGCACTTGGGGCTCTCACCTGGTAATGTGTAACTTCGCCTTTCTTAAGTAGAGCTTCACCAAATCGTCGATTTACTGCTCTTTAAAGAAGCCGGAGATGCTGTAAAAATCTGTCATTGGCGTCACATCTGTGGACTACTGTTTCTCACACGGTATGTCATACCATGTGCGAAAAGGACCAGTGTTCCGCAGAGGCGGCACTACTGGCGGAATTTCACTGCTTAAGCTAAAACCTCAGCTTTCGTGTAATGACTGTAAAGTTTTATGACAAATTTCGAGATCCTTTCATAACACCTTAGACTCGGGTAATTCATACATGTTCATCATTATTCAAGTGATTATTCGATGCGCATGGTGTCATCATTTTCTCTCTCTCTCAGTTGGCGACCTTTGCAAAATAATTCCATGTTAAAATCAGTGTACTGTTTTAAATCAGGTGCTTCCTATCGCTAGAAATATAAGCGCGCTATGTATCTGGGTTCCATCTCTCTCACAGCCATCAATGCGCTTCAATGGCCCGGAGAGTTTTCTTCTAGTCTTTCATAAATAATGTAGAGCGTGTAGGTAATAAAGTTGTCTTTCACATGTCGCCTCCGATTTTTAGTTTCTTCTTTGCTCCCTAATCGTTTTGCTCCTATATTGCTCTTGCAATTTTTGTCTTCTTTTTTCATCGTTTCTGCAAAATATTTATCTTTTTAGTGTTCATTCTTCCATTGTTCTTCTCATTCATTCAACCGGGTTTAGCTAGAAAATTATGTGTATATCGTCGTTGTTAATCGTATTGTTAGGATTACCATGCTATATACCAAGTTTATTTATAGTTCTCGTTTTATTGCAAAGTCTCCATATAGCCGTTTGTTTTGCCGTACAGGCTCAATTATGTGAAAATATATTGATTGTGTCCGCTATGCTGAGTATTGTGTAAAGTATCGTCTACTAATTGTGTTGTTTACATCATGTACCTGTCGAGTTAATATGACTTCGAAACTTAAACATGGAAAATATGCGTTTTCCACAAGCCGTTGAACCAAAAACTATTATTAGCAAGTTGCCAGATCCAGAAGGAAAACACTCAGATCTTGTACTTCATAAGGTATACTATTCAATACTATTTTTATTATCATTAATTCGCCCATAATAGGATCAAAAAATATGAAGCAAACAAATTGAGCATTGCAAAGCGAAACGCCAGAATTCAAAAGGTGGGTTTCTCACAGCCTCCTATGCTTGTAAACCCTGTTCAGCATGGGGGGGGGGGGGGAGGGGAGGCTGCGAGCCACGCACTCTGAAGGAATTTTTGGGTCCTCAGAATTTTTGATTTTTTTCCATGGCCAAATTGAATTAGAAAATAATTCTAAAAACTGTTGTAACTGTTCACAAGAATAAACAAGTCACTTGCACATTTTCTCCAACCCATGTAATATCTATCATCGGCTCCACGATTCGTTTAGAGGCGGGGTTTTGCCAACTCAAAGCGTGGCGGTTTTTGATAGCGAGAGAGTACAAAAAACAATGCTGTAACGTGGAGGTCTAACAAGTTTACCTGTGTTATCAGGCAAAGTCTACAATACACCTCTACACGAATCGTGGAGACGATTATAAGTAAATTTCAAAAGTTTTGCGACCCATTCTCGGAAGGGGGGGGGATGTGGGGCCGAAGATGAAGACGCTACGTTATGGAATACCTAAATATTAGGTCGTCCCGAAAGTTCTGTTGCACCATTTCCAAAAATTCATAAATACTGAAATTTTCAACCGATTTGAATGCTTTTTATTTTTGTATGAAAAAGCAAATCATGCTCTTTATAATGACATCTTAGCTGCTTACTAGTGGTCATCTGTTGCATAGATAGTAGCGGTAGAAATAAATTGGTCAAAATTTGAATTCTATGTGTAGGGTCATAAAAAATTCGGAGACTTGCAACAAAAATCGCGGCAATCAGTATTGTAGGTTCTTTTACCAGCTCTTTCTAATGATGCAAAATTTGCTCGATTGAGCGTCTCTATCAAAAGTTACGATTTCCCTGAAAAATGCCAAAATAAATCAAATTCACCCTTTTCTATTGCTTGCTCGAAAATCATAACTTTTCATAGAGGCGCTCAATCAGCACAAACTCTGCATTGTTAGAAAGAGCTGATGAAAGAACCTACAATAACGACTGCCCCGATTTTTGTTGCAAGTCTCCGATTTTTTATGACCCTACACAGAAAATTCAAATTTTGACCAATTTTTTTCTACCGCTACTATGTATGCAAGAAATGACCGCTAGTTAGCATCTAAGATGTCATTATAAAGAGCATGATTTGCTCTTTCATACAAAAATAAAAGCAGTCAAATCGGTTGGAAATTTTAGAAGTTATGAATTTTTGAAAATGGTGCGACAGAACTTTCGGGACGACCCAATATTTATATCGTTCACTTCCTTCCACTATAGTGGCTAGGTCACTAGATGCTGAGCAGGTAGCTGCTCCTATTCTCCATGTCAATCTTGTACTCTTCGAGTATCCACGTACAGTCGAGTAGATTTTCTGCTTAATATAGTGTCCCTGCAGACGCGACGACGCTGGGGCGTCAATAATTGCCTGACCAGTTCCCGAGCTAGTGTTTTCCAATGTTTTCTTTGCTTATTCTATGCTTTTTAGGTGATTCGTTGCTGATAAAGAAGAAAGGGTAAGTTAGACAGTAGTTTCTGTTTTCGAGAAGTTTTATCATCGCATATTCACAGATATCCACGTGGAAGCAGTTCGCGTCAGCTTCTTGTCTATTTTCTTGTCACTTCATGTCTATTTCTTCTTGTGAGGTACTTCTTTGAACGCTAGTGGGTTTTTACGATTGACTTATTGTCTTTATCACATGAAGTACTTGATTAGAATGCTATTTCTTATGGATGAAAGCCGAAGTTGCTGCAAAACAAGCCAACTAGCGTTCAAAGAAATGCCTTGCAAGAAGAAGGAGGTTTGAAAAAAGAAGTGACAGAAGAAAAGGAAATGACAAAAAAATAGATAAGAAGCTGACGCGAAATGCTTCCACGTGGATATCTGTGAATATGCGATGATAGAGCTTCTCAGAAAACAGAAACTACTTTTAACTTACCCTTTTCCTCTTTGTCAGCAACGAATAGACTAAAAAGCATGAAAAAAGCAAAAAAAACACTGGAAAACACTAGCTCGGGAACTTGCAAGGCATTTATTGACGCCCCAGCGTTGTCGCGTCTGCAGGGACACTATATTAAGCAGGAAATCTACTCGACTGTATACGTGCTACACGTCACCATCAACACGATCTCAACTCACCTATCTAGCACTAGTCGTCTGAGAAGGGGCCATACACTTGCGAATCTCGACGAGTAGGTATATGTCAAAAGGCGCGCGTCTCGGCAATCATCATTGCCAGAAGGGATTTGTACTCAAAAGCGAGGTTTCCACACTCCTAAAGTTTTGTCATCGTATGAGAAACTAGCTTGCTTACGCGGCTCCACTCGGCCCTGTCAAAACACTGTAATAAAGGTCCCATCCCTATCCCTGTACAGCCTTTCCCTGTGCCTACTTCTACACTTCATTTCCCGTCCCCTGTGTTGTATTCGAAATCAGCATGCCCACTTACCCCTCTGTGCCAACTCCCAGCCCTTCAGCTCGAACTATGCAAAAAATCTATAAAATCGATAAGTAGTGGGAAATTCCGGAAAATAGCATAGTATTCGTAATCAGCATGCTCGATTACCCCCCTGTGCCAAATCCTAACCCCGTAGCTCGAGCTTTGTAAAAAATCGAAAAAACCGATAAAAGGAATCGATAATTTTGAAAACTAATATTGTATTCGGAATCGCCATGCTCACTTACCCCCCCCCCCCTCCTGTGCCATCTCCCAGCCCTGTAGCTCAAACTTTGCAAAAAAGTCGATAAAATCGATAAAAGCAATGCATAACTCTAAAAACTAATATTATACTAGCGACCCGTAGGGTCGCTAGTAAGTGGGTTGGGGCAGATACATTGATAAGTGTCTACGTGCAACTAACAAGGGAAGCGTCATTAGTCGAAGTGGCCTTTCCAGATGAGACCCATACTGCTTTGAAGAGCATTGAGCGATGATTCCAAATCTGCCTTTCAAATCTGCCAAGCGCCTTTGGACACCGAGTTATGGGCGTTTTGGTCAAAAAATTGAACGCAAAACTTCAACAAAATTACCCAAATTTACTCAAATGGTCCAGTGTCAAGTATAAGAGCCTTTTATGCAATAGATACATTTGTCTAATATGCTAACACTTAACATTGCTTTATCTGAGCACTGAAAAGATTGTAACAATCGATTTTACCTAAATTCTGCACTCATTTTTCGTTTCAAAAAATGGTCATAACTCGGCGGCCAGAGGCGCTTGGCAGATTTGGAAGGCAGATTTGGAATCACGCTTAATGCTCTTCAAAGCAGTATGGGATTCTTCTGAAAAGGCCATTTCGACTAATGATGCTTCCCTTGTAAGAATAGCAAGGGAATGAATTCCCATATTAACGATCTTTTTCGCAATGCAAGTAGTAACAGAAGCAAGATCAGGCTCAAGCAAACTTTTACAGCGACTAACTACCAAATCATATACGCTGTTCTTCTTGCAAAGACCCAACCCCAGCTCCTAAAAATGAAAATTGCCTGAGCAGTCATCTATGCAGAAAGCGGATTCAACCCGAAATGACCGACTTTCAGGAATGTGCGACGGTAGCAAACACATCGAGCTTCGCGATTATGCACAGTCCTACACTCTCCTTATGATATCTCGCGCAGTCATTTCTTGGAGCGAGATTAAATCCGCTCAAAGCTTTCTTTTGGACAATCTTAGCAAACATGTCCTGCCTCATAGACCGAGACCACGAGATCAAGTCCCCTTTCCTTTTTTGCTGAAGGGGGCAGAAGTATGATTTCTGCGAAGTAAAAGCGGCCAAAATAGGTTTCAAACAAT